TGTAAGAAAATTACCGCATGTTTCCAACCGCGTTGGAGCGAAAACGCGTTGTAAAGGTACCGCGTTGTAGGAGGCCTACTTGTACATGATACGAATAACTTATGATATGTACAATTAAGTTAACATTTACGTTCATTTGACCTAGCTCCGCGAGCCTCGTGTTGGACACCCCTGATGTAGAGTAGCGAGGATTAGTAAATATAGAGGTAATCTAGTGGAGTAATAAAATATGTATACATGTATACACACTATTAAATCAATTAATAGCCCCGCTGTGCATCCACCCTAATCAAACAGAGGTGATTGCGCGGTGATGCTATTAATTGGATTTAATTTCCTAATGATTAAAGTGCCCCATACAGAAAGATGCTCATAGTCAGTAACGCTAATAACCTTATGTTATCCCAATGCGAGATGTAACATCCTTCCAAAACGTAGTTTGCTAATTGGGTAGATGAATGTCTGATTGATGTGCTTTAATACACTTTTCTAATTTGCCTAGATATAATACACAGAATTATTACTTGTGAAAGGTGATATAAAATCATATACAACCCTGAATGTTCTAATTTATGGTGCGGTGTCCTATCCACAACAAGACTCTTTAAGAGAGTGATGCAGCTATGGATAAGATGTATTCGTATCTTGCAGCCTGAAATTTTGGCAATATCACAACATACATGCGATTTTTCCTAATACAATTAAACCTTAAAGGCAAGTGGCAGAATCAGATTTTGATTTCTCAGAAACGTTTTTCACGATGATACGTTTATGACTTCTGCACGATCTGCTGAGGAGATGCCTCCCGGGAGATATTTTATGGGAAATTGGTCCCCAATTTAGGAGTTACAAACATGGAAAAAACCCGGAAAATTCCACGTGGCCAGCCCATTAACAAGGTTCAAATCCATGACCAACTTATCATAACAACTTTAAAGTGATTATTTTATCATTTCAATTTTGTTCAAGTGATTAAACAGTCACGTCAAAGTCGTTATGATAAGTTTGGTTTTGAGGCATATTAATAGTTCATTGAAAATTTAACAAAGTTATCGAAAGAAGAAACATTTTGTACTATAAAAATGGTTAATATTATGCGTAAATTTAATTAATTAATGAAAATTTGTTAGTACAGTCGATTCCTCTATAACACGGTAGATACGTTCCGGTTTTTATGAAATTCATTTTCTACGAGTCCTTAAATACATGAGCCAATCACAGCCCGGCACGTATGCAGTTTATGGACAACGACTGTTTGAGAAGTTTTCTTCCATAAAATTAATCGATCCTAGACTAATTCGACTCAACATTTCCAAAATACGTATCATTTTTTGGGAATAATCTATATAAACTATGTTATAAACAAAAGTTGTAGGATTACTTACCGAGTGTGCACCGTTCGACGACTCCATTGCTTAAGCTTCTTTTCGTCGTAAAGCGGTGCATCGAATGGAGCTCGCGTGCTTCCTGATAAATTATTTTTCTGCGAAAACTTTGCTGAATTTTGGAAACATCATTAATATAAAATATAATTTTTATGGACGTTAAATAATAAATGGTTTTTAGCAGGTCCGCTGCTCGTTTAAACTCAACGGTTTGTGCAATATCCGCTGTTGGTCTAGATATAAGACTAGTTGGACTAGGTAAGTGAGTTCCTGTGTAATTTAATGATAACCATCGAACTAAGAGGTATACAAATCTTTATTTAGATATCATTGTGACCAGCATTACATTGAGGCGTGTTCATTACGTTTTTCTTTAACTTCAATCTTGTTCTTTTATCCCAGAATTTGTGGGAAAAATGTCTTTCAGAATAGAAAAATTTCATGCTCAATAGACAATTTGAGCTCCTCAAAGTCGATTAGTTATTCCGTGGAGTTATTGAAATTTAATATTTCAATAACTCCACGGAAAGAAATCTCAAGAATTCAAATATGGAGAATATGCAGGCCAGTCATGTCTCACGTGATGCAAATTTCATTAAAACACGTTATAATATGCTGGCTTGAATGGTATTCATGCTTCTATATTTCTAATAAAGCATTAAACTTGGTAACGTTTCGAATCTACCAAGTTTAATGCTTAAATATGATGCTTCTTTAATCAGACTTGTTAAAACATTTTTCATTTGTTTCTTAGATTCTATAGAACTTATTTGACTTGTTAATTACTTGGAGTTATTATTAAGCGTATTTTTTCCGTTATAGATAAAAATGGATGCGAACTACTTAGCGATAGATTTCGAATATATTAATAATTATATGAACAGTAATAAAAGAAAACTTTGCCATTGCTGGAATGAAAATATTTCAATGCAAAGAATTCGATAAAAAGAACAATTAATGTCATTAAAGACGAGCTTATCGGTGAATTGGATGTCGTTTATCATACGAAATTTCAGAGCCTGCTTGATTTTCAGAAAAAAGTCGAGGAATACATTTCGAACCTTTTTAGTATCTGCAATAATTTCCACTATTTTCACGATACCGTGAGTATCGTAAATAATAGTCTCGAAGACGTGTATCTTCTGCCTTATATTTCTTTTGATTTTACACTGGAAGATATTTCGATATCCAAATCGGCTATCGGTTATCTCAAAACGTGTACAGTTTCTCCAGAGGAACTAACTCTTACTATGTCCAAATTGGATATTAAATATTGGGTAGAAGTGAAAAGTAGCAAGCCTTGGCACTTCTTATAATATATTTTTTATCTGCTTTCGCTGAAAATTTTACAAGTAGAAAATTTTATGGAGATGTTATTGATAGAAAGAACGGTTTTTATTCAATTACTTTTCATCACAAAGTTGTTATTGATTTTAAGGTCTCTGCTTCGGCGACGGCATTTTCAACTCATTCTGCACAGAAAATGTCAAGAAGCAAAGTTTTAATGTTACTGAAATGGGACGAGGTCTTGTATCAAAGAAAAAAGCTCTGAAAAAGTTTCTGATTGCCAGAGTAAAAGGCTATTTTACCGGAGAATGGACTGAAAAGGAAAAGGTTTTTCTAACAGAATTGAACATCGGTTCTGTTAAAAATGTCGAAGATCGGTTTTCACCCATAGAAGAGATAAACAATAACAGCATGACAATGCGAAAGTTAAATGTTAACACTCAGCATCTTCATGCTATCACCTATCAGCATAGTACCGTAGGAACTTAATGCGATTTCCTATACATATTTCGTAAATGGGCATGTTGACTAATTCAACTAATTATTTTTCAATTGCCCAAGAAATACAGCACTAATATTTAACATCATATTATTATGCACAAATCGCCTCTCCTACATAAAATCTAATTCAATATTTTGAATGCTTATGGCTAGTAACGTATTTCTTACTCAATATCTCTAGATCTACTTATTATTTGGGAAAGACAAGCAGTTTAACATCTCTGTTGTGTCAAAATGCATGTAGCCACTTACTGTATTATAAACAAAGTATTTGTACAACTATATCAACAAAATTAAAATAAATTATAAATTATGAAAGGTACTTCATTTTAGGTGTAGGGTTTATTATTCTATCATTTACAGGTTCCGTATTATAGTGGATGCACACATGCAGCGAAAAGAGGCGGAATGGCGTCACTATTCTTCGTGGAAGAAGTCGATATTGGAATCCCTTTCTTCGTGTCGCGAAAGTTGGCCTAATTCTATCTTTTGTGGGCAAGATCTCATTTTAATTAGCCAATAGCAATTCGTTTCTCAGTCAACATAAAATCACATGTATTTTAATGGCGAAAAGTTCACCGCAGTTAACTAGGATAAATGACATTAGAATAAGGAGAAAAGATAACCAATTGAACACAAATTATACAAAAATATTCACATATAATTAAATTCAAGGGACAATACAAACGAATCTTACTCGAAATAGTATTCTTCATCGATAGATCTTAATGAGGAATAAGTGTATTTCGCACGCCAGTTCTTTCTCGATCTAAGAAAATATCTCTAATCCAAAATACCTTTAGTTAAATCTTCTTCGACGTCTTCTANCGGTTTGCTGAGCTGTTCCGCGACGAAAACAAGCTTGAGCAACGGCGATGTCGAATGGTGCACACTCGGTAAGTAATCCTACAATTTTTTGTTTATAGCGTAGTTTATACGGATTATTTCCAAAAAAATATACGTATTTTGGAAATGTTGAGTCGGATTAGTCTAGAATCGATTAATTTTATGGAAGAAAACCTTTCAAACAGCCGTAGTCTGTAAACTTCACACGTGTCGGGCTGCGATTGGCTCATGTATTTAAGGATTCCTACAATGCGAAATTCGTATAACGAGGAACGTAACTCCGCGTTATAGGGGTCTACTGTACTTTACAGATAATATATGCAAAATAAACTATCCTTTACGATCCTGTTCAATAATTCCACTAACTCGTTGGTAGTAAAAAATTAGCAACACTCGTGTAAGATGTAGACTAAATATCATTTTGATGGAAGTAAGATCTAACCAATCATTCGGAATCTATAACTGCAACACCATAATAACGCAGTCCAAAAATATAACGAGCATGTGTATGCTTTTCGAACAATCTAACGAAACGAATTCATAGTCTTTGTAAGCTACCTTATGTCAGAATGTTGCAAGCAAAATTTCATTAAGAAGAGTTTTCCACGTACAAAAATCACAGTTCACAACAAATGTATTTTCAAATGTGAAGCAGAAACGGGTAAAACTTATATTCCTATCACAGAAACATATACCGGTACTTAGAAAATTTTAAATTGTGTTTTTCAATCTGCCGTCCATATATCCCTGAAAGTCCTCGACCAGTACATTTATATTTAGAAAATATATTGACGAAATTACAATAAACTTTGTCGTCGAACATTATCTATTAAAGCATTTCTACCAAATTGTATATATTAATGAATAGAATGTAATAAGAAAGTTCGTTCTATCTTCAGATTAAAATGATGAAAATTTCCTTGTGCTTTTAAAATACAAAATACAATCATCTTTTTAATGCTATTAATTTTATTTCTCTGAATTATTCAACATACAGTTAATAATAATAAAACATTTTAATCATATTAATGTAACAATTTCGTTTATATTTTAAACATTTTCTTCACAACGATGTTTCTTAATTTTCAAGTTTCTAATTGGGAAAGATCCTGTATCTCATTCAACTCAATATACATGGAAGTATGCCATAAATCATGAGATTGTTTATTCGATTATGTACAATATTGTTTATTGGCATTTGCATTCATCTATAAATTATATAAAAGAAATGAAGTCACTTTTTATAATATAATGTTTTATATAACATTAATTATTCTTTCTGTAAATTAAGTAATAAAAGTCATACTTACTCTGAAGGTCTATATATATATATAAAAATAGATAAAAACTCGTTATTTCTAGAATATTTTTAAAGATAGTTTTAACAGAACCGAGACTAGATGTTTTCGCGACACGAACACATTTAAGGTTCTTTCAAATTTAAATCTCTATGCAACTGAAATGCTTGCCGGAAACATGCAAATATTGCAATGAACTAAAGAAATCTCTCGAATTAAGCAACTAATTCTGAGAAAGCGGTGTCCGCAATTGTCCTAAGTCCGTTAATTTAAATCGAATGTTTTTTAAAACATACAATCACAACGATTATAAAATGTGCAAGATGTATTTATATGCTATTAAGATGCAAAGTACGAGTAAAATAATATTATAAGTACAGTATATTGTACGAGTAAAATAATATTATAAGTACAGTATATTACTGTACAGTATATTGAGAAATTTATACTCATTGACTCATTGGGCGTATTCAAAATCGCAGCGCGCAGTCAGCACCTTTCAGCACTTTTGTTCAAAATCTCAGATAACTTCCGGTTGCTGCCAGTGTCTTTTACGTATTCTATACACCAGCAAACAAGATGGAAGCTCTCACGAGGCTCGTAAGAGCTGTATTTTGCGTTGACAATTTTGAATTTATTTGTTGATGAATAAACCCTGAATGAATTAAAATTCGGAATTAATAGAAAATTTTAATACGCTAGTGTGAGATAAACAGGGGATCGGCGGTTAATTCCTTCTGACCACTTAATCGGCACTGGTTGGTAAAACCCGATCTCGAGGTCGTTGGATGGCTAGGAGGGCAAATCGAGTGGGGAGTGCGTTGGTAAGTCGGCAGAGGTCTGTGGACAAACAAAAAACAGGCTTTAACATAACAAATATATATAATTTTTTTCTGTTATGACTAATTGTGACTTCTCTTCTAATTCTTCCCGGGATTGTTTTGCTGTCGACAAATTCAAATTTCCGACAAATGAGTAAAATCGCGGAACTCACACTAGTATACTTATGTACCACAACGCATAATTTGTTTTAGTTATTAAAGTGTAATCTTAGAATTGATTTAATTATTTAAAACTCCTACTGATATTAAAAAATTCTTCATCCCATTTCTTTTTTCGAAATACTGTATTCATTTTTTCTCATTAAATAAGTTCTCATTAAATAAGTTCAAAAATGAATTTAACGTAACGACGAAGTCCTTATCATTCTCCATTTTTTTTTTTTTTTTTTTTTTTTTTCTCTTCCGAAATTTCCGGCAGCATCTCACTGGATTTATGCTTAGATTTTGAATACGTCCATTGTGTCAACTTTTTTATTACGCTCTATTCGCGAACAAAAACAGGTTTTAAATTTTTCCTATCGGACTGGCACGAATGTTTTCCTGCATATTTACTATTTCTTTAATTAACGATTTCAGTTTTATTTAAAAACAGTAAATATTACGGTAAAACATAATAATTACTAGACAATACAGAAGAAATTCATGCAATCGAACCTTCAATAATGTGTAAACTACCGCATTAAACTCAGGAATGTTTCCTTTTGAAATGCCTACAAAATAAGAACCAAATGAAAGCCATTCTCGTGAGTGTCAGAGGTTGGACTGTAATGATAAACATCTTAATAGTTAAACAGATAAAATCGGTGTTAATCGACCACTGAAACAATGCCGCGGACACAACCAGAAAACAGGAGTAAATCAATGCATTTAATGTAAACTTATGCGCTTGTTTGGGACAACGATTGCCAAGTTGTCGTCGGTTTGGGCTATTGAAAAATTAAACTTTTATGACTTAACTAGTTGATATGCATACCTGTATTTGGCTGTATTTTCGGCAAATAAAATTTGTTTCACATCGTTTATTTAAAAATTTGAATATAATCACACTACGCCTTGTTGTGAGCAAGTGGCTTTTCTTGAACATTACCTGCTCATATTTATTTTTGATGTTTTGTAAAGATTGTAATAAAATAAACATTCTGTATTTAATTAGTTTTTTTTACAAAAATCTTTATATTCTACATATTATTATATCTATTTATTAGACTACTACAGAAAAATGTGTTTTTTAAAGCGTATCCGGATAACGTCCTCATAGGTTTGCCAACAGTTTTAACAAGGGCAAATTAGCTATTCCATTATGTGGCCCAATTAAACGGAATTTTCTGTATTTTGCATTTTCGAGTTTTCTGTTATTCTGATAAAGTGTTCGAAGTCCCCTTACAATTGTACAGTACCATTTTGATTTTCTACAAAAGTCTGCTTCTATTCAAATATTTTATTTCAGTGAGTTAGTGTCATTAACGTAGCACCTTTACATTAAATATATTTATACATTATATTATATACATGTTCCAAAACATATGTATTTACTAGGATCGCATTGATTGTGTTCAAGGCCTGCAATTTTTACCGAGAAAGTTTTGTGCATAAATCTAAAGTTCATTATGTGTGTTTCAAAATAGAAGCAATGCTATTAGTAGTGATGTTAGAAACTCGATTCCTTTCAAGCTTTCCTTCGGAGTATCTTAATTCAGTACGCATGTAATAATTTTCGCCTTGTTCGTGTTCCCAGTCAGCGATATTAACGAATATAAAAACGATTATACAGCTGTTTAATCTGACAATTGCGTCCAAATTCAGTTTAATCGTTTAAAACTCGATGGATGTCTTTGTTTACGCATGTAAACAGAACCGAACTGCTACGCGCACTTTGTACGCCCCAATAAACCAGCTTAAGTCTATGGCAAAGTTTTCCGGTGATATTTTTCAAGGGTCAGAATTGCAAATAGCTTACGAAATTCACCGATCTTGACTTAATGCCCATATCAAATTTGGTCGAGATCGGTCAAGCGATTTCAAAGAAGTTATTGAAATCCGATGACATTTAAGTGCATAGAAATGAGTTTCGCTCGCTTAGCTCAATAAGATACGTTCCAGTTCCAAAAAAACAGTATATCATTTAGCAATAGTCTAGTCTTAGCTCTGATTTAGTGAATAAAAGAAATGAATTTTACTACTTACATCCGCCATACCCATGCATTGTTCCTTATCGTTTATTTTCTATAAAATACGTAATTGCTCATATATTTTATTTCATTTCTATTATTAATATCATACAATCAAGATAAATACTGTATGTAATTGTTTCTTAAATTAAAGGAAATATTAATGAGAAGGACCATAGTGACTACAGAAAAACATTAGAACTTTTTACTTTAATTACTTAAATCTATTTCGGGAATAGAAAAATTCGATTGAGAATTGAAGTTTATGCAATATTTACGTTATAAAAAGCAATTTGATGCCAATAAAAAACAGTGACGTTCTATCAACAAAATTTCAGATTAAAATGGAAAATAAATAGACCCAAATTAAAATTTAACTGTTTTCATAAATTTCTGCATTAATAGTCTAATTAATGAATTAGAGCATATCGACCAAATCATAATTATTTATTTATTTTATATTTAAATTATTGAATAGACAGTACATTCTATATGTACAAAAAAGGAACGAACGTTGATGCTTTATAATATGCGTTATATAAATAAGAGAGATTATCTCTAATTAGTCAAACTAAGTTCTCACACTTGAAGTAAAACATAAATTTACTAGTTCCGTATATCAATATATATGGTGATTTACTGGTTTCGTTCAGTAGCTTCTTTCTCAGAAACCGTTAGAGATAAAAAGATGACACTAATAACTAAGATTATAGAAGAAACAGGGACACAAGTTTTGGTGACATTCGGTAATCTCGAAAATCAGAGGTTTTTAAAATACAAAACAATCAGAGTTATTAAGTAATAGGAGATTGTATCGAGCCATTATATGGCTAGTAGCCGACATAATTAATACTCCCCAAACACACACATACATTGTCTATAAAATTTTTCTCCGTGTTTTTATCATTTTTGGGTTCAGGGGTTTCAAAACGTAGAGATTGGCAAGAAGATTCAATACTTTCCCGTGTTAAAATTTTTCATGCATAACAAGTTGGAAAATAAAATTGAGGAGAAACGTAATGTAATTCCGTTTAACAAATGTGAAACTAACAACAGAAAAATTGTTTGTAGATCTATTTACGTTCGATTTTAATGTTTATATCCTTTGAATTAGAGTACAAAAATTTAATTAAAATGTGAGATGTTCCGTCTCACGTGGGTGATGATCTTTAGTTAGCAACCTGACACCACTTAGTGGGTTTTCAGGACTAAGACGCGAACGAAATTATTAAATATGTTATCGGAGTTCATAGGAGGGTCTATCTTTAAGCATAATTATGACGATAGAGTTAGGCATAAAGAGAATCGAACGAGCTAATGATTAATAGATTTAATAAAATGAACTAAGATATTCTATATACAACTGTAATGAAAAATATATTTAAATGATTGATGAGAGTGATGAGAGAGTGTTTACATAAATTATATTACCGAGTTGTCTTACATTGGAGATGAATGTCAAATTAATGTCTGGAGTGAGGAGAAACACACATAACTATGTAAGCACATTATTTAAATCCGAACTTGTCTCATGGCGGGTCAAAGATAAAAGCTCGATGATGAGCAGTGAGCTACTCTAAACTGTACTTAAGTTGAACTGAGATAGTTAATTAGCTAGCTTAGCTTTTAGAAGTGACCTATCACCTTTTATAAAAATTCTCCTCCAATCAAATTGTTTGAAATAAGCCTCCACGCTTCCCACGCGAGACAGAAGTTGTGCGGTTTGCCGAGTGTGAGAAATCCCACACTAAACTATCGCTTTCGACCAAACTGTGTCATATTCCTTCATCTAAACAGGAGGTTCCTTTTTCAACTTCGTCCAATTTTTACAAAACAGATAAAATTCTATCAAAAATTACAACAAAAGTTTGTTATTTAATTTAACAAATTCAATCGTTAACCCTGGATTCTCACAAAAATAATATCCGTTACTATTAAATTATAATGGATCTAATGCAATCTAATACCATACTTTTTAATCGAAACGATAAAAGAATTCCTCTAAGTTTAGATTCAAGAAAGAAAGATTCTCATGATTTATAAAGTTGTAATTTTATTCATTCTCTCCAATTCTACGTGTAAATGAAATTAACGATGTATTTAATATGAATACAATATTAGACCTAACCATTTACCTATTCCAGTATTAACTGTTAATCATACTTTAATCTCTTCCAATTAAAATTTATAGTTTTTTTTTTTATAAACGCCTAAATGTTAACGTCAAATTTGTGCAATTAATTTTATACGGAATATAATATTGAAATATAATTTATGTTTAATTGTTAAATACTTACAGTTGCTTCATCCTAAAATAAATTTAGAATTTATTAATATCTGTAGAAAATAATATTAATATTTCTCTCATAAAATATTTCAAAATTTATAACAGTAATGGTTAGATTAAAAAATTAAATATAAAAACATACAGGAAGATCCTTTTTTTTCAGACACTTCAATAAATAAAACAACATAAGAATTTTAGTATATTGAAATAAAATAATTTATTTATATAAAAATAATTATATTCCAGGCTTTTATTTACAAATTAAAAATTAGAAGCTAAAATTAATTGAAAATTATACGTACGTCCTTAATATCACTTTCATTACAACAGTCGTTGAACTATCAATAGAAAAACATTACGTAAGAATTATTAAAGGAGTGATAAAAAAAATTTGAAAGTTAAATAATAAAATAAAGTAATAATTTAGAAAGAAATAATTAAACGGGAGCTTCCAAAAGAATTATACAACTTTAAATTACTGTAAGTTAATTATTAGCTGAGAAGTATGCGACGTACAGCAATCGCTACAGTAACAGTTGTAGATGTCATCTACCATCTACATTCAAATAACTTTTTGTTAATTACTTCCAGGAAGCGCAGTAAACAAAAATGGCGACTCCGCATCAAAGATGCCATTTTGTGTTTTGCAGTCCGCAAAGTCATCATTGTGCTAAAAGAATGTTTGTCTTACATGATGAATCACTTTGAAATTGTCTGCGAAACTTAAGCAATCATTAAATATAATGCTACATGTAATAATTAACATAATTACAATAATTTAAGACGGTAGAATTCTTTTTGAAAGACCCCACTGTATTTGTATATTTATTTCTGTACTGTGGTGTCTCGTGAAAAACGTACGAAAACATTTCTTATGCACTTTCTTAACCATCAGAAACTCAGTAAATTTTACTAAATATTCAAGGTACAGTACAAACCTGAACATAAAAATTTATATTCACATATAATTAATGCATTTATTACTTTCTCCTTATAGATGGGTGATTTATGGAATGAGAAGATATTATTTACTTTATTTCAAAAATTCAGAACAGTTGCTTAACTTTCCTGACAACGCGCAATTGCACTTTACTCAGATTTTACTGTAAAAAATGATTATTTAACCAAATCTAATAACATACGGCTTCACACATAACTGTAAATTACGGTGCCAGGAAAGTTGAATAAGAACCCATGCCAAAATTAAATAAATATAATTTATTTTTTTACACGTTAACATTACATTAATAAATACAGTGGGTGATCGGTTAACGAACAGATCGGATAACGAACACTTTCGCGAAAGATTTTTATGATCGGACAACAAACACATGTTCGGATAACGAACACTTCACTGAACAAACATAAGAAAAAACGACGAAAATAGCAAATACCGATTGATTTTCCCTTGTCTTCAGGCAACAATTGGAAACTTTTCGGAGCGCTGGAGAGGTCGACATTGACGCTCATCTCGGAATATACTGATCAGATAGTATTCCTCCGAACTTCGAAACTCTCCCTTGTAATTCCAACCTTTTATTTTTCTGACAGAAACAATTCTTTTATAGTATTCGCGAGATTGTCGGGCGGATACTCGTTAAGTTTTCGTCGAGTTTTATTTTTGAAAGGTAATATAGCAAAGGTAGAGAGTGGGCAGATGTCTGATGTTGCTGGGTAGTATGGCTTGAACAGGTCTACAGTAGGTCGCAGTTCAATCTTATCTAAGACAGATACAGTATAATGAAGAAGACTCAAGTTGCTAAAGGAGTAACAAAAATCACTTCTGAGAAATAAAGAACATCGAAGAGTTCATAATAGAACCTGAAACGGATCTGACGACAGAAGAATGCCAAGAACTCTTGAATGAAGAACACCAAAAAACTCGGTGAGATATGTTTTCTTCTGAAAAAGAGGATTAATGCCGATATCTGCTATTAATTAAAGATCTTTTCAAGAAGTGGGGGGCGTCAGATCAACGGTCTTAGAACGGCATATAAACCAGGTTGAGGTTAATAGGCTTGAGGATCTGTACAATTACAATGCTATTAATTACTTCTGAAAATCCTGAAGAAGAGAGAAAAAACAATCGACATTAGGAAGATTCTTTAACCCCCACAAACAAAAAAAAACATAACTAATAAAAATGCAAGACCATGTGTATATGTATTTTTATTATTACATATCAATGAACGTAGTAAGAAAGTATATATATTTTTTTATTTTTGGGGGTCTCCAGAATGAATTAATCAAATTGCCATACAAACCTATGGTAAATTGATAATCGGTTAACGAACAATTCGGATAGCGAACAAAGTCTTGGAACGGATTATGTTCGTTAACCGATCACCCGCTGTACTGAGTTTGTCTTTTGCATNAGAACAATAAAAACACTACACTCAACAAGCCACCAATAAAACTCAACTGCCTAACCTATAACCAAAGTCTCCTTTTAATTTGTTTTTAAAAAAAAGCGCTTGACAAACTTGCCCCGCATGCCGAAGTTGCCCCGATCTCCCCTATTCATATAACGTCGGACCACAATTCATATAATATTCATAAAATTCATTGCGAAAGAAGTGTAATGGTTTAGAAATTAAAAGCAGTTTTCTACAGTCTATCTTCGAGGAAAAAATTTTTAAATGAAAACGAAACTAGAATATTCTAAGGCGAAAAAACAGAAAAAGTGTTGTGTAAAAGTAATACTTAAACCTTTGACGCTTGTAATAAAACAGAAACCANGTAATGGTTTAGAAATTAAAAGCAGTTTTCTACAGTCTATCTTCGAGGAAAAAAATATTAAAATGAAACGAAACTAGAATATTCTAAGGCGAAAAAACAGAAAAAGTGTTGTGTAAAAGTAATACTTAAACCTTTGACGCTTGTAATAAAACAGAAACCACAATTGAAAGGCGGTGTCTGAGTTCCGATGCTAATAGTTACATAAGTGCCTAAGCATTTAGACTAGTAATTCCCAAAATGGGCACACCGACTCTTTGAGCGTTTAGAAGACCCAAGAGGGGCAAGGAAGGGAAGAACGGTAAAGGTGTTGGAAGACAAGGGAAAAATAATTTTAAAAGAAATATACAGGCATACCTCGACTTACGTCGGTTTCGAGTTACGTCGTTCCCGATTATACGTCGCTTGTTAAAAAAGTATATGGAAAAATAAAAATNATTACATGGAAACTTAGGATTTCAGCTTTCGATTCACATTAAAAGTAGAATATTTTAAATTTATTTTATAGATTAAAAAAATAAAGAATAATTTATTTATATTGAATATATTTAAAATAAATTACCTTTTTTTCAATAACAATACCATTTTTTTCGCAATCTTTGTATTTAAGCTGTAAACAAGTATTATTTATTAAATTACTAAAGTATCCAAATCTTGTTATAAAGGTAATAACTGATAAAATAGTTAATAGGAGAGAACCTTACCGGACAATCACTCTTTAATCTGTTTTCACACATTTCCTGGAATTCGAAATATTAAAGAAATGCTAAATAATATTTTTTAAGTCGAAAATCATATTATAAAACACTATAAAGTAATATTTACATCGAACTTCGTTTTCTTCTTGTCATCCTGTATTTAATATTAAAATAACATTGCTTATAAATCTCGTTTTTGATCTACATTGAGTGATAATGTACTGTATTTATATCTTTAATGTGTAATTTATAAAATATTGTAACTTATAAAATCTTTAGAATTAAAAATGGTATGATTTAGATCTTTATTGCATTGTAAGTTTGATAAATAATTAAATAATAGTAAAGAATATTTACCAAAGTATTCAAGCAAGTTACATATTCCTGAAAAAGTGAAATGTTTATAGGCTTATTTCTTTCAAACTCCATACTTATAAAAATGTTTTAATTATCGAATTTTTATTTATTGAAAAGTATATAATATTATTTATACGTAAACAACCAAGTAAATACGTTTTAAAATTTAACAAGAATTCATAAAGAAACTTAATTTTCTTTGTTAAGGGTGGATCAGATCCACAACAAGATCGACTAACGTGGGTAACAGAAAACCCTTATTAAATGCACCTATCCCTGAAAGATTATAAGAATATAATCCTCATTCTAATACGAATCCTTCCAGGTTATAATGGATATCAAGTCATATGCTTGAAGAAAATTACAAAAAAATAGATTAAAGGAATAATTGAAACGACCCCCTATAACACTGTTGATTATTCCGTTTTATATGAATTCCATGTTGTACGAGTCACTTAGATTTTACAAATACGTGAACCGTTCACAGCCCGGCACACATATTTGTAAAATCTAAGTGACTCGTACAACATGGAATTCATATAAAACGGAATTATCAACAGTGTTATAGGGGGGTCGACTTGTATATAAACGGGCACTAACGATAACAAAAAAATAAACGTAATGTAACAAAGAATTATAAATTATTTCCTCGCTGTTGATTTGATTTGCGCGTAATGTGAATGACCGGTTGTGAGAGAGAAGATCGAATATACCCGAGACAGACCGTCCACAAAAAATTCTCGAGGTTCGTTCCACCTCGAGGGTCGGTCAGAGGAGGTATGGATCTTTCAACTGTTTTAACTCTATCCGTCCTGACGGCACAAAGACGGTCGTTGCATAACGTCCACCATAGATTCGAGTAGTCTCGCAGGTAGACTGGCCTGGTCGTAAGAACAGATCCTAACATATCTGAAACCGACTCTATGAAATATTTATTAATTTTCTAACCTGAGCTTCAACCTGGCTCATTTAGAACAGTAGGCTACCGCATTCCAGCATCGACCATCGATGAACGTTATTAATCTATATATATGAGGATGTTTGTTTATTTGTTTGTTTGTTTGTTCGCTATACACGTTTAGGCCGTTCGATCACTTGCTACGAAACTCGATAGTTATGTTCAAATACTAAAACTGAGTGATGAAGAAAGCCTTTCCGAAGAAAAACAAAAAAGAATCCCATACCGAAGGCTCATCGATATGTCTCGCCGTTGGAACACGCCTGATATTTCTTACACCATCAGCAAGTTAAGCCAATTCAATACATGTGTGAGAATACGGACGAGGGTCCAGGCCCTCTAATCGTCAGATCTGTTAGACCTGCTCACCTTGTCACTGGATGGCTTACTTTTTACAGAACCCGAGTGGTAAGGTTCTGTGTGGGGTTATGCACAGTTAATAAAGCAGGCAAGAAGGACATTAAATATAAAATTAACAATTTAATCAAAGAAACGTATCAAGGACAATAAATAATACAACACAACAGACCAAGATAACATAAACTTAAATGTATAACCTAAGACTAAATTCAGTATTACCGAGAGAGAGAGCTTACAATCATTTATATTACCACACTGGAGGAGATGTCTATATGTGGCTTGAAGCTGGAGGTTGGACGTCCCGGTGGGCTGGCCCTATGGCATGTTCTCTCATTAATGAACTGCCCCGAGTGTATGGAAACCTGCCCTTTTTTCTACCTTTTCTACCCAGTCAGTCATTATACTCAGAAATGTTGTGTCATTTGACCAGATGGTGTGCAAAATTCTCAGATACGAGGTGTGGAGGAAGGAAGCAAAACATCCTAAATTCTTGCTAATTATTGAATGACATAGCAGTTTTTCAGGATGTTGAACTTTTGTAACCTTTTTAGGTTATATTAATTTTATTCCAAATTTTTATCATTTATAAACATTTTAAGTGAAAATTAAAGTACATTATTTATTTAAATTTATTTAGGGTGAAAATTATGTAACTCCCTTTAAGAGTCCCTCCGGATTATCACACATGCCACAACAACACACACGAAACGAATGCTATGTTACATACAAGGCACCTCTGGCCATGAAACAATAGTTTAAAAACTGGAAAACTACTAGAGGGCTGCGTAGATGCCGACTGGGGATCATGTTCGAACGATCGACACAGGCTTTGTGCTCGTGCTTGGAGGTGCAGCGATAATAAATAACAATAAGCAAACAACAATAAGCTCGCTAAGAACCCGAACTTTCACTCTTGGACGAAACATATCAACATACGACAATATTTAATCCGGGAAGCACCGGAACGCGAAGACCTCGACATCAAATATTTGTCAAACAATGAGATGTCTGTCGACGTCCTAACTAAATCTTTGTTTTCAGGCAAGCACCGATCATGTGTCACCAATACAGAAGGTACTCTGATATAAAATGGAGAGGGGTGTTGGTGCTTACAAGTGAAAACCAATTTGGTCCACCAGCAGACCTACCTCAGACAAAAGAATCTCCTTGTCCTTTTGTCTCACCCCTGCAGTTTGTGACTTGTCATCAAGTGGGGACCTTGTCTGTTAGATCGCGTCCTACGCTATTCATGTATTAGTTTTTGGTCAAGTTGTCTCAATTATAAACACTCACCGACTCTCCTTCTCTTTAATGACACCAAAATTTTAATAAATGTCCTATTAAGTATAGAGATCAGGTCGATCTTACAACATGGCAAACGAAAATATGCAATTAGAATAACCAAATGGAGTTTTATTGAAGACGACAACACAGAAATTATGCCGTTGTTTAGATTTCGTGCATGCCTCTATAGCAGTGTTCCAGAGATACACGTATCACTGGAACACTGCTATAGAATCATGTCTATTAATGAAATTAGAAAAAGTTGGTGGGCTTTTACCAAAAAATATAAACAAACGTAGTTATATCACATACGTAAAACTAATAATTAATTTTTACCTCATGAAACTGTGCATTATCTGTTGATTTCTCACAGCATAGTCGTATCTGAAATGTATATACATGCAGATTATTATGATTATATTATTTAAAAATGAAAGTGTAATTATTAATAGGAGTTTATTACTTCAAATATAACATTATCCCATTTAAAGTTCATACGTTATGTTACAGAAAATAATAATAATAAATTGCAATATCTGTTGATTTCTCACAGCATAGTCGTATCTGAAATGTATATACATGCAGATTATAATTATAATATTATTTAGAAATGAAAGTGTAATTATTAATAGGAGTATATTACTTCAAATATAACATTATCCCATTTAAAGTTCATACGTTATGTTACAGAAAATAAAAATAATAATAATAAATTGCAATTTTTTGTAATGTACAGTACTTACATGACTGCGTAATTTCACTATCATAAATAAATTTTATCACGTTTATTAATTAATTATAAATTAAAATAAAATTATAAATACGATTCTTAAAATAACCCATTTTTTCGTCTTCAGTTGCATTCGAAGCGCAGAACATAAGCAAGGCGATGAAGATCGAAATTTTCATTTTGAACGTAATAAGTTCGTGTAGAACCTGTTCCGGGGTTTTAAATACTGTCCAAAAGAAATAACTATTACGTCATGAATTTTATGTTGCTAGCATAACAGAATCTGTTTAAATATACGGTTAATTAGAAATCAAATCGGAATTTCCTAGTTTTATTACTTCACTTTAATCATTTAAAAATAGAAAAACGTTCTTTTCGTTAAATAATAGCAGAAATATCAGCTTCATTAAATAATTAATTAAAAATGCCTTATTTCATTATAAACTATAAATAGTTGAAATATATTTTCATGTTATAAATTTCAAAGCCGGGCATTGCCGCTATGTTAAAGCAAGTTCGTACCCAATCGTCAGAGCTGTTGGCATCCGTCGTCTTAATTGACTTTATATATTTGATTTAGAGGAAATCTCAAATAAAAATTACTCACGCCTCGGTAGTCCAGTTTTGAGCAAATATATTTTTTGAATCACTTCGAAAAAATATTAAAATATATGAAGTAAAATTTTTAAATCTAATAAAATATTTAATTTGATTTTTAATCTTTATTTCGTATATATTATTCTATTAAGCTAAATACTTGAAACGTAGAGAATTCCGTCTGAATAAACACTTCTTATTTTGAACAAACAATTTTATACTTTTTTTAAATCAAAACTCATGTGTATTGATATAAGAAAATAAATAAAAGATTGAATATTTAAAGATTAAAAAATTTATTATTGACTTATTCCGAAACCGTGTGTCCTTTTAATTATTCTTTACTTCACAATTGGGTGCATTTTTTATCCATTTCAAATGGAGATTAGCTTCGTGCCGTTTTGCTATTTGATTAGGTTTAAAATTAAACGTGTTAAATAATTCTGAATTTAATATAATACAAACTTCATAAATTATTCTATCTTCTATGCACTTTTCACGAATCAAACAATTGTACATATATTTTGTAGGCGCCATTACAGATCGTCCTTATTCAGAAGACTTTTCATCTCTATTCGAATTACATCTTGAGTTTCATATATTTTTAATTAAAAATAATTGCGATCAAAGACACCACTACTTGACTCAGCTTTTTTTTTATGTGTTATTTCTATGAATAATATTTTCTAATCAAAACTTATTTTCCACATAACATTAGTCTATATTATACCTGTATATAAATTATGTTTAAATAATAATAGGTGAAGTAGTATTGTAGAAATTAATTAAAATTCCATCATATATTTTAATAAGCAGGTTCGGAATTTTTATTTTAATATAATTTGAAGAGAAATATAGTTTAAACAGATTTTCTAAGGTAAACATTACGTGACGTATCTAAAGCTATTTGTATTTTAAGGTAAACTAAGCAATTTCCATTTACCTTTCAATAATTAAAAAGATTAAAGCATTAATTCAAACATTACTTATTCTACGTATAAAGTTTTTGAGATGAAAATTCTTATGTTGCTTTCGTTCACCGGAATATTTGCAATAAAAGGTGCGAAATTTCTTTAAAATTTCAAGTAATTATATTAAATTGATGATGACTATTATGCATTTTTCAGATGAGAAGCCTGAAAATTATGTAAGTATTAAAATTTTGATGAGCTTAGAATTACAATTTTTTTTAAGTTTAAGACGATTAATAACTACAAATAATCTCGTATTATTCGTATAAAAAGCTTATTAAGAACACTTTTTCTATAAATGTTAAATCGTTCAATAATAATATAATTACAATTTTAATTTAATATTAACAATTTGTGATTTCTTACTTGAATAGGGGAGACCGGGGCAAGATCGGCATGTTAAGCTTTACTTAAATTTTGTGTAATAAATACTGTGGTAAACTGAAAAAAAAAGCTTTGCATATTGTCTATTGGAATGTTACCTTACTATAGAACTGGTTAAAATCAGTTTGGAAATAAAAATAATTAAAATAATTACAACTTTACAAGAAGAGAGAAATTGACGAAGTTGCCCCGGGTATAGGGGCAAGATCGGCAACTTCTCTCTTTTTGTAAAGTTGTAATTATTTTAATTATTTTTATTAAAGTTGCCCCTGGTATAGGGGCAACAGTAATGGGGCAAGATAGGCACGTATATAAAATTATGTTATTAACAATGTATAAGTTGGAATTCA